CATATATTAAAACGGAAGTTCAAAACAGACCAAGCTAATGAGTTCCTTAAACTTGTTTCTAATTGTATTTGTGACATGCGTTTTAATGGTAGGGATTAACCTTGTTGTCATCTTTTAGAAAGACAGAGCAGCAAAGTTGCTTTTAAAACCTAGCGGCTGTGGAGAACATTGTGTCAGGTGTACTGTAACAATGCGACCGTTCTGTGGGCTGAACTCATGTAGGCCGCTGTCAGTGGTGTTGGTGGCAATCCTGTGCTGTAGGAGGTGCCATTCTTCAGCAGAGATATTACATTGAAATCTTTACTTCTTGGTCATTAAAGATTTAATGGCTTTTTGTAAGAGGAGAGCAGCACAATTTAGCCTCCCAAAAGTTTCCTTTCCGTTCACCTGGAAAATCAGTTTTCTCTCTCTTCCTCGGCTCTGCCAGTGTCCCCCAGATGCGAATGGTCTTCTCTCGTGTCTGTAAAAATCTTTGTGATCCTTCTGGATGAATAGGGATAAAATTATTAAATTAATCAATATGTTAATTGAACATCGGTCTGTTTTGTTAAGGTACAAAAATGCAAACGAGCATTAATTTATCAGTGTATATTGCCCTTTTGTTTCCCTCTGGAAAGAACAAATCCTTTGCCTGTAGTGTCAGTTAACATGTAAATTATCTGCTTTGGATATCGCAGAATTCACCGTGGATGTTCTGGCAGTCAACATATACACACATTCATTTTTGGTGACAGCTTTAATTTGCATTTTGTAAGGAAAATGGATATTTAGGCATGTCTGGAAAGAGTCACATTTTGGGATGTCATTGCTGTCAAACCGGGTCTCATCAATTTAAGTTTTATTAGGTAAACAAGAAGCTATCTTTGTATTAGTTGAGATATGTATTAGGGCTGTTGTAGTAGTAGTAGTAAATCCTTTGTCAACACAAATGAGTGTGTACAACACCAAGGTAAACAAAGCGTGCTTTCTGCTGCCTTGTGAACTTGCTGTTGGTGAGAGTGTATCTTTAGACTGTTCCCTGTTGTGTGTAAATTTTCCAGCATACAATGTTTTCATCTCTCACTTTCCTTAAGTGCTGAATGTGCTGTTTCACAGATGTCGTCAAATTCAGATCGTCCTGCATGGGAGCGAGAGCCTTTACGGTGAGCACAAGGCAAGATCCTTTGTGCACGGGCTTTTGCTCTTCGGCCACATGAAGTTGCTCAGATTTATCAGCTGACTTACCAGGAATCTGGATGAACTCGACTACAAATTTGACTCCAATATGGGTGATACAAGAAAATACAACTGACTCCAGTCTGTCCACAGTATTCCTGCTTCAGACCCTTCATTCATCCCTCCCCTGGGTCTCGCAGTGGGGCTGAGGAGGGCCAGACAAGAGGCTGACACTCTTTGACACTTGTTTTCTTATTGTAAAGACAAATGCGACTGCTGTTAATTTTATCTATCCAAACAGTGTCACACACTGAATATGCTGACTTTCCAAGGTCTAAATCCACTACTCACTCCACACCACTGAAGCCCCTGAAAAACCAAGAGTATTTCTGGTTTTGTACTGAATCGAATTTAGAACAACTATATACTAGTTGTTTTGTAAATAGGCAAAACGGAGATAGATGCGGTTTTATAAATATATTTGATAACTGTATTTCTAAACCTTACTGAGTCAAAGGGCACATTTCTGTCAGGACAACAGTTTGAAATTAAGCAAACTTTTTTTTTGGCAAAATAAACATAGAATATCTACAAGTTTTTTGTTTAATTTTTTCCTTCAAGAATCATTTTGGGATCCATATGTTATACACTAAAATCAGTATAAAGTGTGCCAAGCTCCAAGTCGAAAAGAAACACATTCTCTTTTTACAAACAAGTAGATCTGCAGCAGAATATCCTCCTTATTTTTTTAAACCCTTTTCCCAGTTTGGCGGTCTTGTTATTCCAGGATAATCACTGTGATATCCACAAGTCATGATATGTGTTTAATGTGGTCTTAAAAACCATAAGAAAAGTTACTCATTTGGGAAGTCGTGTATCAGATCATAGATTATCTTAAATAACACAAAATATTAATAAAAAACACAAGTGCCATATATAAAATAACCCCATCTGCAATACATATACTGCCTTACCTCTACAGTACTAACTGTTGAAATGGGCAGCCAATCTTGATTTCGTGAGGTCTTAATTTATATTTAGACTCTATACGTTCTTTTACGTTGCAAGAAGGTATTATTCTACAAACGAAAGGAAGTTTTTGGTAAATGTTTTTGCTTCTGTGGTTTAAGGGTTTTAATTCTGTGTTTAGTTTTTCAAGTTGTGTGTGAGGGCAGAGTGCTCCCTAGGAGCCCCCAGCAGCTGGCTGAAGATGTGGAATGTTTTCAGATGCCTGTCAGGGGGACTTTCCTGAGACTTGGGCAAGATATTGGCATGTTTCTACCACCCACAGTCAGGAGCCACAGGAACAGCTCAGCAGGAGTCCTCAGTCACTGTGTGGGTGGGGATGAACTTGTATGGCAGACCTGCGACTGGACAGCACTGCCGCTGATACGATCTGACAGTTTTTAACATAATTAAGAAAAGCTTCAGTCACAGTTGCATTAAATAAACACCTTGTGAAACAAACTTGGCTGTGATGAATTCAGATCCACACAAGGAAGGGGTCATCTCGCAGTCAAGGCGTGTGCGTGTGTGTGTGTGCTGCTGCTCAGACCATGACCCTGTCTCTCTGCGGGAGATCTCAGCCCCGGTGAGCTGACTTGTGCTCCATGATAGTCGAGGGTCAGCCTGTACGCGACAGAACTGACAGCATTTTGAAAAAACAATCACAGGCACTTTTATGAGCTTTGTTAGCAAATACAGGTCAGATGTAATCCAGGCTGTGGTCTAGTCTGGCTTCCAGTTTAGTTGAATAGGTCTGCTAAAAACCACTGTGTATGTAGTAAAAATTGTATCTCCACTTTCTGTCTGACAATATCCGTGTTTCTGTTAGCAGAAATATAGCTGAGGATGGTTGGTTCCCTGCAGTGGCATACCTTGTGTTTTAATTATTGAACTTGAACTTTATTGCCATATGTAACCGGTGCATGTACTGGTACAATGGAATTCTTACTTACAGAAAGTCTCTCGATTGTTAAAACAAATGCAAAAACTTGCAATTATATATGCATATTTATCTGTATGTCACATTCATTCATTGTACAGTATATTTGCATATTTTACTGTAAATTATAGTGTATTTTCTGTAGAAGGTCTTGGTTCAGTTTTCTTTAAGATTCAGGACATGTGACCTGAGTGACTAGGGTGATCTATCCGTGTGTGGCAGAGGGCAGTGATTTCCCAGGATATCGCAGCAGGGGATTGATTGGTTTGAGAGGTGCCAGATCTGATTAAAGGCTCAGCCCCTGGCAGGGGGAACAGTTAGCCAGCTTCACTGTGCCAATTCTGCAGGGAGGAGGCATTTGCCAGACGGAAGGGGAAACATCCTGATCCATAACTCCAGTTCTCAGACCTTCTGAGACTGACCTTCATGCCAACAGCACTTTCTCACTGACGAGGACTAATAATTAGATGTCAGAGTTGAACGCCTTAATCACCTGTCTGCTTTTTTTCTCCCCTAAGGCATTGCCTCTTAGTGATGTGTGCTTACTATCATATGCATCTCTTCTGCATGAGGCTGGACAGAAGATGCCCTTGTAGTTTAAGAAAGCAGTGAGTGAAATTGGGTGCATATCATGGATGGACTTGACCTGCTGGTTATCAATCCTCCTCTTCTGTGGAGCAGATCTCTGGAGAGGATGGTATGCTGTGTACATGGGCTTGCCTGTTAGAAACAGTGGCTGCCGGGGCCAGAGATCGTGCTCGAGTTATCACCTGCTTGATGATATTCTCGTGATTACCTCCTTCACTCCTCAAGCAATACCTGAGCCAGTCAGAGCCAGTCCTTCCTTGTTGCCTATCAGGAAACGGGGTACAGTGCTGTTACTTTTTCACCCCCAATGAGCACAAATGTTAAATTCTGTCAGTTGAGCAAACACAGGTTGTCTGAAGAGTTATGGGTTCAGTTTGGAAAGACTGTGGTGCAGGTAGGCAGCTATGATAAACTGTACATATGTTTGTTTGCTTATAGTGCATTTCACAGTGAGTCTGTCCTGGGTCACTAGCGCCAGCTGTCTCAAGTGGGGATTAAAGGGTTTGGAGACATGTTATGGTACGACTGGGAAGGGTGGAGAGGTATTTGTGTTTTCCTCTCGTACTGTACGTGGATCAGTGCTGCCCTTGTGAAATTTCCCTGTACTGAACTTTTCCTGTTTCCTGTGAGCGAAAGGGCACACAGGCCTATCAATAACCTGAGTGTAGCCCTTGTCTCTCCCTGTCCTGCTGGCAAACTAGCTCCCCACTGTGAGCTCTGGCTCGAGGTACGACGCACCTGGATTCCCAAATGCAGCAGCATTTTCCCCCTCATCAGAATTGTTTATATGTCATGAGTGAGAGAGAACAGTGAAAGCTTGTTACTGTTTAAAGTAATGTCACAATGCCTTCCCAGATCTGTCTGAAGCAAATGAAAATTAAAATAAATTGATTTTGATTTCTGTTGTGCACCACGATATTTGCAAAACAAATTATTCTGTGATGAGGATGTAAACAAAAAAACAGCACTTAAACTTTAATTGTTAATTCATTGCTTATGACTCATAGCTATTGCTTATTGTAATTGGTTCCTTTGCACACAATTTCCTGAACTTCCATGGAATTTTCTCTTCACATGATATGATATTATACGATGATATGACGATACGATACAATATGATACAATGCTAATTTATGTGTTTTTATTGCACTGCAGTGTGAGTGAGCCTGACTTTACAAGAAGTATGATCGAATCAGTCAGAAGAAGAAGATAATAATGATGATGATAATATCGCAGAAGAGGAGTTTTTTTTTTTAGATAGTGAAGCAGGTGAATGGTTGTGTGACCTTCCTGTTTTCTTCCTACTAATCAGATTCCTTGGAATGCTTCATCTGCAGAGAAGGGGAGGTGTCTGACCAGGATGAGCTGAGGAACTTCTGTGACTGTAAGAGCCTGGTGGCCCATCACAGGTGCCTGCTCACTTGGATCTCAAAGGTACGAGCTTCTTCATGCTGTCACTGCCAGTGGAGCTCTGAGATGGCTGTGCTGCAGTGTCACACATCATTAATAATGTCAGTCTGTTGTGAAGATCTTATGAACAGTACGTAATTTCCCCTTGGCAGGTGTTTTTAATTTCAAACAAGTTCAAGTGCTTCTAATCAGCAAACATAAAACAGTGACTATCTAAGGCTAGTACAACTTCAGAATAAGATGTCGAAACATTTGCTGTCGGCTAGATTACTGTCAACTTGTTGCTCCTTATACAGTAACTGCATTTCAAGTTGCAGTGACACAGGAAGTGGGAATGTGAGGATACAGTATTTACTATGTCTGCACTTCTCCACGGCCATGTGTGCCACCCATTGTGTGTTTCTGTGAAGCACATACTCTCTCTTTAGTGAAGGCAGGGATTGACTGGTGAGAAACACTCACCAAGTCAGTCATTCATGTCACCAGCAGAAATGTCGACAAATTCTGTTTTTTGGTTTATTTCTGCAAAGACTTTAGAGATTTCATTTGAATTTCATCAAGCCAATTGCCCAAGACAAAAAAAGGAGAGAAACTTTAACATGCCAGCATTTTTGTGTTACTTTTTGATTGCTCCCGTCTCCAGCTGGTAACTGATCCATATTCAGACTAATTTGTTTTTACTGTAATCGTGTGCTGAGATTAATTGTTTTGACTGCTGAATATGATCCCTTGCATGGGTTTTCTGTTAGTTATTCTTCTGATGTCGTACTGATTGGGAATCACAAACCCTCTGAGCCCTTCTCATACAAACTGGCACAGTAGTCTAAGCCACAGCTATTGTTTTTTGTTTCAAAAAAATAAAATCTAACGGACAAGATCTAATAAAGCCTCAACCAGCTCTGCGTTTTTGGTTTTGCTTTATTTTTCTGAATATGATTAAAACCAGGTGAATCAGTCCTATATCTGGGTCATTTTCAGACTCACTTTTCACATTCTTTTCATTTTCTTTTCTATTTTGTTGCTTTTCTTATTAAAATTTGCACAAGTTTTATTGGTGTTTCAGCTTATTGGATTTTTGTAATAACACAAGAGTGTTTAATCTTGCTCAGCACTCCCAGCCAAGCTGGGAGTCAAGCCACACATTTTAAAAGCTATCATTAGTTGTTATATATTAATACAAATGCAATTTACCACCAGTATTATTTCTTTATTATTGAGAAAGCAATAACCAGAAAGACGGGAATCCTCCAGACTCCGTGTCGGAGGCCAGGGGCTGACCATTTCCTGTGCTCTGCTTTGCCAGGATGGGCAGAACTGTTTCAGCAGGCTTGGCCTGCCTGCAGTCTGACAGCTCTGTGCTTGCGTGGTCACCAGCACTCTCTGTGAGACACCGGCAGCAGATAACCGCTATAGGAGTTCTTTCATCTGTGATACCCTGCAGGGGAGCAGGGAGACCCAGTGACAGAGGACTCATCCTGACGTTCCTCAGACGTGCAGTCTTGCACTATCAAGGCTCTTTCCTTGAGTGCATTTCCATCTACATATACAATTATGTGTACCGATCGTACCTCTCCAAATGCATCTGAAAGTATACATTTAGCTGCTGGATCGCTGAAGAACAGATTTTTTTTGCAGTCGAGTGATTTCTCTAAGTGCTATGGAACCCATTCCCCCCGCCCTGTTGAAAAGTAATCAGCAACCGACCTGTCACTTGTGCCTGATACCCATCTCCAGAGCAGGTCATGCATGTACATCTAAAGTGCTTCTTAACCACATTTTATGAAGCCAGAAATGTAATCCAATAACACTGTTACTTGTAAGTGCTTCTCGCTAGCCACCAGGGAGCAATTTCAAGTGTTGTACTACTCTTAAAAGCAGTTTAAACAAAAAAGACATAAATTCCATTTTCTTATCTAATTTTGCTGGAAATAAACTTAGGAAATAATGTTTAAAGTAAATTACATTGCTGCTGCTGTTTTGATACATCAGCATCATTTTGAAATAGCTTGCTTTCCGTCTCTTTCTGATTTTTTGTTACCCTTGTAATTCCAGCTCCCCTAACTGTACTTCAGGCAAAACATTCTTTTTTTTTTATTGGTACTTATTTCTTGAAATCAAAAGGTGTTAGGTTTTTTTCACCTCTATAAACTCCTTTTTTAAGTTTGAGAAAATATACCATAGAGGTGATAGCGTGGTCGTGTGAAAAATCAAGAGCTTGGAAGGCCTGGGAGTACAGCACATAACTAATTAGCAATCTAGATCTCGTTAAAAAAAAGGCCCTTTGAAAAGCACGTGCCTCCAGGATGAATGTTAATACATTATTATACAATAAGCAGCTGGAGAACCCATCAGGGACTTCCAGAGGCACCAGAGCCACATGACCTTTGACCTTTATTACGGCCAGCAGCCCGAGGGTGGTGCCCAGGTGCCCATGTGCCAGGCCGTTTATAGCATCTAACTGTGTCCATTGCAAATTAATCCAGTACAATGCAGAACAATACAGTGAGGTACAGGATTATATTGCTTAATGCTAAAAGTTGGTAAAAAAGCTCTAAAAATATTCTAACAACTAGAAGATTTACTTTTGTGAAAACGGAAAAATCTTTTTCAACATTTCAAAACTTTTGTTGTGGTGGATACTGCCTGCATCCCTATTTATATCCAAGACATCCAACATTTCTTCTAAGGAGACACAGAGCAGGATATTTAAAGTACACAGAAATTGGATAACTCATGTATAACAGCTTTGAAAGTCCATCTCCTTCTTACTATGTCAAACCACTACAGTCAATTCTTTGATAAACCAAAATCCAAATATGTACTTCATTTGTTAGTAAAGAGTGCCATATGGTTTAGTCTTTTGCAGTTAATGGAAATTATCTTCTGAACAAAATAATACACTTTCCAAAAACAAAAGTAATCCTATCCCTATGAAATAAGCCACAGAGTTATAGGAAAAAAATGTGGCTTGCCTGAAGGAAAAAAAAATCCTTAAAACGCTAACACTAACTAAATTAGATTTATTTTAAAATAGGGACACGAACACATGCTGTCATTTTGCAGGCCACTAGGTAATTTGGGTGTCAGAATGTCAGAAAACTGAGGCTCGAACAGACTTCTGAAGCACATTTCCACAATGTGCTCAACACCCACACATAGACATCAGGTGATTTTATTAATTAAGGTCCTTAATTACTTCAGTCTACATTTTCCTTTGTGTGTGTGTATGTGTGTCTTTTTTAATTGCAAGTTGTCAGAATAATAAATTTAGGCGCAACATCCACCTCTCTTGGGCTGTTGGTAGCCTTCTTCTACAGATGAATATACACCAACTTTACAGGCACATTATATCACACAGCACTCAGAGGGTGTTAGAGACATTATGCTTAGGGGAAACACGCAAGCTATAAACTACATTGTTGATTAGCAAAGTACAAAGACCTGTACAAATATACTATACCTTGCATGTTAATGCGTAGCTCCTCTCTGCGATTGTCTTTTATGACTTAATGTGTTTGCTTCTATTTTCCTGACAGCTGGTTGTTGGTAACATTTTAACTTTTGCATTATTGGAGATTGTTTAGCTGTTGAGACATAATTTTGATCACATTGCTAAACTTCCTCCACATCATGTAACAAAATGAGAGACACTGCCAATTACGAGTTCTTTAGTTTTTTAAACTGTCTTTATTAACTTCTTTCAAGTAGAGATTCCTTTACAGTTACAGAATACCTGGCATCAGGAGAAAGACACACTTCATACTGTATTTTACAGGCGAGCTTATTACAACAAGCCTTGAGTGTCAAAGACAAGGGAAGTGATCTAAAGGGATAAACTCCAGTATAATCCTATGCCAACTTGCTATATATCTTATCTGAGATCCACAGCAACAGAATATTTTTCTCTGCACATGATGTTCGCATGTTGTTGAGCCTTTACGTATGAGTTCTCCTGAACATGCTGCCATGCTGTTATTTCCCCAGGGCCCTGGACCCGAAAGCTGTCCTAGATGCACTGTCTGCAAAGCTGAGGTAAGAGCCTTCACACAGAGATGCCACAGCTCCTGCTTGTCCTTCCTGGCTGTGCTGCTGCCAGTGGAAGAGAGAGGCTGGTGGAGCGCTGTGCTCTTGCTAGAGGCCAGGGCCCACCCTCTGCTGGGGTGAGGAGGTATATCAGCCTCTCAGCCCTCCTGGTGTCTTACATCCCTGGGCCAGCTGCCCTCGGTTCTTCCTGTGGTGTTGGCAGGCGTTTCAGAAGGGAGCTGCCTCTGTCCGAGGGGCACTCTGACATACACATCTAATCTAGGCCTCCGTTTCTCTTCCTGTTCATTTCCTTAAGCCAAAGAAAACTGTGTGCCATGAATGTTAATATTATTATTATTTGAAGGATGTAGTGTTTCTTTTAAACCCATTAGTGGCACAAAAAAGAAACAGACTGTTGTGCAAAATGGATGATATTCTGTTTATAGGATTTTTCTTTAATCTCACTCTAAGCACTTATCTGGCAGTTTCAAAGTTTGTCGTCTACTCTAGTTCCGTGTGCAAAGGCTAACCCTTCTAGCCATGTGGCAGCACTGCTAGTTTAGAATTGCTGTTAGCAGTTGTTGTACATAGTGAAGGGGGTACAATCATTCAGAGAGGTGTGGTAAAGCAAGAGCATGTGCTCCCTGAGCATCTTTTGTAACGTTGAGGATCACAGCCCCCGACTGTTTCTGGAGATCACAAGGGTGGGAAACGGGGGCTGCCGAAGAAGCTGTGGGACTTCTGACTGAAAGCGCGCGGCCGTCAGTTTCAGTCTCGCAAGTCACAAACCCGTAGAATCACCACAAAGAAGAGCTATAGCTAATGGAATGCATTTTTTAGAGTCAGTACTTTGAGCTGAGCACTGATGTTTGATTGGTTAGGCAGCTTTAACTAAAACACATCACTGCAAAGTGTTCTTTTTGCTTCCCTAACTGAATTCGGCTGCTCCTACAGTAGAGACCCTTTACCTCATTAAAAAGAAACATAAACTCATGAAACATACCAAACTACAGAGGGCCCATTTCTCTAATGAGCAATTAGTGGTTTGTTTTTCATTTACTTCTGGAGATTTTCAAGTTACCGTGTTGGTAATATGATTTAAGCTGGTTTTATACCTTATTAATGTACCATAGCACCCTGCTGATTGAAAGGCTCTGACAAACCAGAATATTTAGCATCACATGCTCCCTGCATAATGTTCAATTCCTTATTCATTTCATGAACCCAAATTTATCAAGGTTTAGAAGTGCATTGCAGATGCAAATTCTCAGCTGATGCTTCACCAGTTCTGTGTGCAGGTTCATTTGTGAGAAGTAGAACATATGAACATGGTCATTGTAAAGGTCTAGGTTTTTTCATATACAGACCAAGTAAGCCTATGCCTCCCCTTTTCTCCACACGCCTTGTAGCCTCTAACACAAACGTGTCTACCGTGTACAAAAAATCCTGCATATCAGTCAAGACTGCTGGAGGTGCAATTAGCCCTCCTTCTAACCAGGACTAAAAGAAGCTCTGTTTCAAGTTGGTTTAATTTGAAAAGCACAGCACAGCACTGCCAACTTGATTTATCTTTAGGGGTTGACACTGTTTTGTTTCAGATTAGTTCTGGACGGTCAACTGTATAATAATCTGGTTGCTGAATGCCAGGCCCTGCTACCCTGTGAAAGGGAAAGAGTACAGGCTCACCTCTCAGAGAGAGTGTGCCAGGTGCCCCGTGTGGAAATGCAGGAACAATCCATTGCTGATTCTGTGTGCTCAGGAAATGCTGTATAGCATGCCTCTCTGCGTTTGATTGCATTATACATATAGAGGTGACCAAAACTGACCAGCTGACCTCATCACACTTATTCCTATTCCGAGCACTTGCTGTATGTCCTTTCAAAAAGTCAGATTTGTACATTGAGCAGTCTTAACTAACCTTAGCTTGAGTCTGCTTTATTTTGAAATTATACTAAAGCAATCATGGATCACATAATATAATTGTCCTCACACCTTGCTGTCGAACCCCTATATTTCTGGAAACTGAGCAGTTCAGGCTGCCCCCCCCCTCTGCCCACACTTACATTTGTAGCTCTCTCAGAGAAGTAAAAAACTTGAATTTGCAGGAGCAAATGACAATTCCTGTTGTAAGTGCTTTAAACTTGCATATCAGCAGCTGCTGCCTTCACTTAACTGTGCAGTATAGTGCAAAGATCAGATGATACACTTGGAGAATGAGCCTTCTGTTTTACTTGTGGTTTCCGATAACATGAAGCAGACAAGTGGTTTTGCCCCAGACGTCAGGTTTATCTGAATGTCTTCCTTGAGAGAAGCATCAAAAAACTAGGAAAATCATCTTCCCAACAATATATAAAATGTGACAAAATTAAGAAAAAATCATTGATGAAAAATAATTGTGTTATATTTGTAATAGTAGGGTGGATATAGTCATTTGCATGTTAACAACAAACAGAACTGTAACATGTTTATGCTATTGAGCAATTTCACAACCCAAAGCAATGAACTTTATTGGAACGTGAAATGTTATACCACAAAAAGCCAGTCAGTAAACAGCTTTTAGCTGTTTCTGGACTGAAGCAAATACTCTGTATCAATGCAAAAAAGTATGAGTTGAGTAGTCAGATGGCAACTGGCTCATACAACCTCAGCTGACACCTGATCCCTGGATCCTTCTGTGTTCCCTCTCTCTTTGCCTCTGTTGGCCAGGTGTTTGTCAGCGGTTTCAAACTCTTAATCGCCGACATTCTCCCATGCCCTGGAAACTGAGCCTGGTTAAATCAGTGCATTATTGTCAGTTTGCCTTCCGCATGTGCCTGTGTAAGGGCCCTGATGCCAGAAATGTTATTTGCTGGGCTCCTCTGGGGCACCCAAGCCGGCGCGCTCCTTTCTTGCCCCATGTAAGCACGTGACCTCAGAGCTTTCTTAATGGCTTCCAGATTTGGCCGCTGACGACAATAATGTAAACTTAGACCTTTTAAATATGAGTCATTTGGTACTGTCGTTACAGCAGTGGCCCTTGGGTGTGAGGAGAGTAGCTGCAGCTCTGGGAAACCAATTTTACGGGAACATGCGTTTTCGTTACTTTTTTTTTAAGCGTGCCGTGCAGATCGCCGCCCAGTGCAATCCAGTGTGCATGGACAGCCCTCCGCTCTGGGAGACGTCCTGCTGTGTCTGTAGGCAGCCCAATAGCAGGCGGCCTGGCTGCTGGCTAAAGTTTGGGGATAGCGGTATGATTATCCGCCTGAGCTGATTTGATGTAACTTGTGCTTTAATATTCTCCTGATAGGGAATGCATCAATATAATGGCATTTTAATTTTTATATAGTAGGCACATTTAAAAAATGCTTTGTAAAGATGCATTTCTAGATAAGCATGGACTTTAATAATGATGATAATAATAATAATAATAACGATCAGGGGTCTTAAGCTGCTATCACTCTTAATACTTGATTATGCTCACCGGTGGTTAAAATTAAGAGCCTTCAGCCATTATGGCTTGAAACTCACAGCACTTCAGTTAATGCACATTCCCATTCAGTGCCCTTGCCATTTCATTTTGTGGTATTTGGTGATGCTGTTTCTGCATCAAGCTCTCAAATGTGGGCCATTATGTATGAGTTATGCTAATTTGTTAGGGCAACGAATGCATTAATTTCATTAGCAAATGGCCTCAAAGCAATAATTACCAGAGTAGGTGTGTCACAAGCCATCATGTTAAAATTTGCCAGTTAATTATTAAGATTTTGTTCCAAGGGACCTAGATTTGACATGAGAGTAGCCAAGATAAAAAAAAAAAGGAACTGAAGAAAACCAAGCTGGTTCCGTACAGTATAAAAGCAAGGTGCTCGTTGTTTGCTCAGGAGGGGCCTGGATTGTACATGTTGACAGCTCACATTCCGACATCATTACTGTAAACGGCACTAAGCTGCCTAGCACACATCGCATCCGGAGTGTGGAATGACGAAGGAAGGAGGGCCTGCACAGTTTAAACGGGCTGTTTCAGTACTGTCTGGAGTTCTGTGAGCTGGGGAAAGGGTGGTCCTACCACCACGCGGGCTGGGGGGCAGCCTTTTCGGCAACAATGGAGATCAGTGGGGACCGGCGGGTCCTTCCGCTCTGGACCGGCTCAAGCCGACAGGAGCAGAGATACTGCCGCCCCTCCGAATCGTTAACCCCTTCGCTCCCGCAGCCGACCGCAGTGCAGCGCACAACAGCACCCTGACGCACAAGGCTGCAGCAGCTGGCTGGCTCTGTCCTGACACAAAGACTTGGCTTCCTGTCAGGGCAGAGCGTTCAGTGCCGGCTGTCAACAGACATCAGGGAGACTTACTGCCTACCTGGGGCCTTTAGTAGTAATCACTCAGAAGGGGGCAAAGGTTAATAGCACTGTTGGGGAAGTCTGTTCTTGTCAGGCTAATAGGCAAGTTGTACCAATTGGTGAGCTTTTAATTTTCAGGGTGCAAACTTTAACAAAAGGACTTGACTGCCGCAAAAAGCTGGTTTTGAACAGTCATCACTTTTGAAGAGCTGATCATAGGTCATTTGCATTGTGAACTTTCAACTTTACTGTATTTAAACCAGTTTCAACTTTACTGTAGTTTTACTTTACTCTCCAGCAAGATTGGAGTATTCTGCACTTCACTGGGCAGCTGCGGTTATCATTTGAAAGGGACACGACCGAATTAGAGGGCTTTTTCTGTGTTGCAACTAATAATTAAATTAAGTGGCATAGTTATTGATCTTGCTTAACATCTGCTAATATTAATTGAATTAAATTAAATATAGATAGTAATACTATTTAATATATAATACATGAATTAATTGTTAATTATAATTGATTTACAAATTCCAGATGAAATATCAAGTGAAAAGGCAATAGTGGCCACAAGGAAGAGAAGTCTGGTGACTAAGTGAATGAGATTGTGTGCATTCTGTTCACACATTTTCAGCATTAGCACAACATGAGTCTGGTGACAGTTATGCAGATACGGGGTTAATCCGGCAAGAAT